AGATGCTGTAAAAATCTTGAAAAATTATGTTAAAATATATGTATCAGATAAAATCAAGATGGACGGACTTCCTGACATTGACAACTTTAAGTGTAAAGATGAAATTTTGAAAATCCCCCCTATATTATGGAATTTTATTTTCAGAATTTGTTCTACTGATAATGAAGAGAAAGTGCTGAAGAAGTCACAATTTACTTGGAATTCACATTATTCTGAACCTCTTTTCAATATTTTCAGAATGATGCCACGTTTGTACATTTTGAGTTGTATTTTTCATTTACAGAATTCCCAGTGTGTGCAACCTTTGCATTTATTATATACAGACATAGCTGATAAGTTTTCTAATTCATCTAGCACATTTCTTTCCATTAATGCTAGATTAGGGGCTGGTATCTCAAAGGACTCTCTCAGAAGATACATTACTAATAGGTGTAGAGAATTAGAACAAAAACAGAGGTATATTTTATCAGATAGTTTTATTGTAGCCTCATTTGATAACCTTGATAAAAACCAGGCTTACTCTGTAGTATGTGCTGGAAAAGATAGAAGTGGCTTCCATGGAACCACAATACAGACTGTGGTTCCAAAGCCAAGTCAAAAAATTAATATGTTTGATGACTCCAATCTGATTTCAAATCTTAATCAGACCAACATCGAACATGACATATCTGAACTTAAAAATTCCAGAGACCGTAAACTGGAAAAAGACATTATTCAGAAAGTTGTAAATCCAGAAGACAAATTTGGGCTCCCACCAGTAAAAAAGCAGAATAAGTTTTCTAACATGTCACCATCAGATTTAGATGAAACAGCTGCAGAGATTTCAGAATGGGATGAATTCTATACAAGTGTAACAAAATATGGATTTTCAAAAAACTTTTTCAAAAAAGAAAATATTGTTTTACCAGGTATTAAAACCTTTTTTTCTATTCCAGTTGAAACCACTGAAAAATCAGATTTTTCTTCAGTAGCCATTCTGGATGAAACAGCAGACAGCAAAGAAACAGTATTAAAGGTTTTGAATATTTTAAATGATAAATTTCAAGTTGGTCAGTTGACTAATTATGTTGTTGTTGTAGGTGACGGAAAAGTTACGATCATTTGATCAAACTTAAATCAGAATATGGGGAAAACATGGATTGGGTACTTGCCTACCCTGGTGATTGGCATATATTAAAAAATGTCCTTCCCATATTTGTCAAGATTTATTTTGATGCTGGATTGAAGCAACTTGCTACTAAACATCATCATGGAGCTACGTTAAAAGTTTTAACTGAGTGTAGCAAGTTTGCAATAACTCATAGGTTTTTTATACAAGCTTGGGAAGCAGTTATGAGACATCAGGTGAAATCTTTTTTTGAATACAAATCATGTGAATCACCTTATGATATTCAAGTTTCAGATTTAATATTTGATATTATTTCAGATATGTCATTAGATGAAGGAGAAGAGGATGTTTGTAAAACTGATGTCTGGGAGAAGGTATGTGAGAAAAAAAGGGAGATTTTTACTTTTTTTACAGATGATTTATTAGAAGAATATAACACTTGGCGTCATGAGAACTCCTCAGTCAACCAAACTTTTGCTTTTTGGGACAATTTTGTACATTTAGATTTTATGGCTTATCTTGGTTTGTTTTTCTCTATACGTAGTAGAAACTGGCACTTACGGAATGTTTCACTGAAAAAAATTACTTGTCTATTTCATGCTTTTGATAGGCAAAATTATCAGAGACTCATACCCTACCATCTTGCTGATCTCCACACCTTTCCAGAACCTGTTATTAAACATTTTGAAGCTGGCTGCTTTTCAGTTTCAATTTCAGGTAAACATTTGTATTCTGTAGCACTAGATGAAGCACATGAAATGGAAATTAATTTAAAGTCAAAAAATGCTCTTAACTCTTTCAGCCAGTCTTCTTTGGCTAATCTCACTTTTTATTTACCTTACAGAGCAAAGACATTGCATAACCTTAAATCAGAATTACAACTTGAAAGAGAAGAAGGGTTATATCAGAGAGAAGGTACAACGTCATATGTTAAAAATGCAGAAAAAACAGTTTGTGAATACATGTCCAATTTAGAAACATCATCTCTGTTTGTCATAAACTGTAATGAAAATTTACATCATATTTTTACCAGAACTGAGACTGACCATGAACAGACTGACAGTTTGATAAATTATAGAAAGTATGGTGAGGAAGACTTGGGAAATTATTTAAAATGCTTTTTATTTAGAACTTGTGAAACAGCAGGAAAGCCTCCCCCCAGAAAAAGAAGAAATTTAAAAACTTTTGCCCCTATTAAAATAACTATTCACAAGCAAAAAAAAGAAATTAAAGATCAAAATACAGTGATTTCTTGTTTGAGGAAAAAAATTGCATTTTCAAAGCATAGTGGTAATGCAGTCAAGGATTTGGACCAGTTTTTACAGCTGCCACGTGCTTTGTGTGATGCAGAAGGAATTCCAGAAAAGGGCCAAAAAGCCACTGCAGCTAATGTCTTTAAACATATTTATTCTGATGCTTTTTTATTACAGGTTCCTAAGACTCCAGTATCAAGTAAAACTACTATCATTATTGATGGTATGTTTATTATCAATACCAGTCCACTTGCCTCACACCAGACCTTTGGTGATTATGGTGAATTTCTTTTTAATAGATGGATTATAAAGTATTATAACCAGTATACAGCAAATGAAGTTCATTTACTATTTGATGATCCAAATAGGAATGGTGTTAGCCCAAAAGACATTGAAAGAACGCGGAGGAATACAGTTGTACAGGAACCAGTTGTACGTACATGTATTTCCTCCGACACACCATTGCTATCAAACTGGAGAAATTTTATTGCAGTTCGCCATCAAAAGCGACTTTTGGTTAACTTTTTGTCTGAATATTTTTTGTCTCTTTCATTGACTTTTTTCTCTACTAACCAATGTTGTTTTGTTACAGCTGGAGGATTTGATGATGACAGAAAAGACAGAGCAATTTCCATATTAAATGGTCAGGTTGTAGATTATGACTTGGCATCTGGTAATCATGAAGAGGCAGATACTAGAGTATGGTTACATGCATCAGTTACAACAGCAGATCAAGTCATAATCTACAGCCCTGATACTGATGTATTTTTTATAGGTTTACCACTTGTACCTAATTTGAATAAAACTGTATATGTGCAGTTGAGAGATTCACCATACAACAATTCATTTCTTTCCATGGACAAACTTGTAAAGTGTATTACTTTAAATGATTCACTTTTACAGGGAATTGACAGTGTTTTGATATGTATGCAGTTACTTTTTATCTATAGTGGATGTGATTTTGTGTCATATTTCAGAGGTTGTGGTAAGAAGACTTTTTTTGATGTATTCAGAAAGCATGCCTCTTTTATTGTAGGAAATGGAAGCTTTGCAGATGTTCATGGTCATAATGGCCTTCATTCATTTTACAGGTTAATATGTTCTGTTTATTTTAATAAACATCGTGCTGCATTTCAGCCATATTCTACTCCTAAATCATTATTTGATTCTATTTCAGAGGGGGACTTACATGAAAAACATGTATCTTTTATTTCAGCCATCAGAGAAAAGCTGTGGGAAAGAGTGGTCACTGAAGTGGAAATGATGCCAAACCATGAAGCCCTCAAACTACACTGGATGCGGTGTTGCTGGGTGTTTGATTATTGGAGTCAGAGCACCAGCAATACCCATACACTTTCTGATTTGTCAAAATCTGGATGGCAAATCACTGATAATAGATTAGAACTTGTTTGGGACACTGTTTTAAATTTTCAGAAAGTGGAGAAAACTGTAGAATGGTATACCAAAGGGTGTGGATGTAAGACTGGATGCAAAACAAATAGGTGTAAATGTAAGAAGGCACAAAATGATAACTGTGATGGTTTTTGTGGTCCAGGTTGTAAATGTGTAAACTGTTTTAATGTTCCAGGTAGTGGAGATCAAGTATTAGATATGTCAATTGACCTTGATGATGTCATTTCAGATGAAACAGAATACCTTGAAGATCCAGTTGAAGATGAACAACCTGAAGTAGATGGATTAGTAGAGGAACTTGATCAAACAGATGATTACTGGCTTTTCAGTAATGAAGAGATTTAATTTTTATTTTTTTTCAGATAAAAATACTTTCATGAATATGTTGTTAATGGCAAAGCTGTTCAATTTATCACAGTGCTTTTAGATGAAAAGTGGAATCAGGCTTGATATATTGTAATAGGTCTTCTTTTAATTGTTAAGTTCTGCATATTTATTTTCTGATGTCCTGGAAATTTGTGTTGTTGGCTTGCTGTCATAATAATCTATACCCAACCTCTGCTATAACTGATATTAACACTTCTGTTTTGAAAGAATGTTTCAATGGAGAAGCCTTGAACCTAAACTTGATAAACAATTTGGAAGTTTTGACTTTTTGCTTGTCAATATTATTTGATCCAGTTATATAAACTGCATTTGTATAAACTAATATGATATCTTTGTGGTGTGTGAATGTTCAGGACTAATACATTTTTGTATATAACTTTCATGCAAAATTGATAATATTCAATGATATTTTTTTTATTTTATCAATATTCATTAGTCATGATAGTCTTTTTTTAACAATTGTTTTGTTTCCAAATTCCTACCACTAGATTTGCAAGTTTCCTGTTCAAATTTGTTATTGTTTACTCTTCCTTTGAACCTCAGTTTTTTGTGCATTTCAGGTATTTAGGGGCTTGAATTAATGATTTATTGAAACCTCAACAAAAGAGAGATAACTCTTAAAATTTGAGATATTGGAGACAACTGTATTAATCACTTAATATTTTTTTAGGACTACTGAATGGCTGTCCTTGGTGTTTATTTTAAACGGACATCAATGGGAATTTGCAAATATTTATGTCTAATACAAATTTTGTACTGTACATATTTTCATGTCTTTTTTTCAGATAGCATCATTTATTACATGATAACTGTGGCTTAGATATTTTCCTTTATTATGTTTTTACCATAAATGAGCAAGAACAATTACCTTTACTAATTTGCTTTATGTTTTGTACAAGTTTCAGATCCTTAAAATACTGGTTTGAGAAAATTTTATGTTGAATGTACAGATAATTAAGGTATGTATATTATATAAAAAGTGGAAAGGGTGGGTACAGTAGTTTGTAAATACAGCAAAATATTTTTCTCTAATTTTCAATGCAAAGTATATCAACAATGTTGATTATACAAGTGCCTATTAATAGCAACACATAACATTCAAATATATTTGTATGTGGATTTAATCAGTACAAAGATTAATGCAATTTCACAAATAACTTTATAAATTGACTAGCAATTTTTAACAATGTTGATTTGATGTACACATTCACTTATGATATGTTTTGAATGGACTAGGGATCTGATAGTTTTCTAACTTGTTTACAGAATAAGGCCTTGTAAATATACATTATTTTTTTATTGATAAGGATTGAATTGTAATTTCTTGCAATTGAATTTCATTGTATGTATATAAATTATTATATGTATATCAGTAACTAGGTTCTACAACTTGTACTTGTACTTTATCAAGCTAATCTTGTTACTATCGATTCTATAATATTTGTACTTTTAAATAAGTAAGTGATGGTGTTGTTGGATTTAAAATGAAAAAGTTATGAAAGCTAAGTAGTATTATATTTGTCTGCATGCCATGATAATAAGAGGGGCATATTGATACTTGCCTTGCAAAAACTTAAGTTATAAAATATTAATTTTTCTTGTTTATTTCAGGTAAGTGAATGGGAGTACAGAGATATTGGTTTACTGTCTTTGTAGGACTCTCCACAGATAGTGAATGAACATTTTAATCAAAAATAATATATATGATATCTTGCATAGTATTATTCTCTACTACATGTTTATGTAATTGCCACTTTTAAGAAATAAATTTTAAATTCTAGGAAAATCATAATTTTCCTTTGACAAGAGACAAATTAAATCAATAAAAATCTGAAGAGGCTTAAATGTGCTAATTTTTTTTTAAATTAATTTTATCCTGTGTGAAAAGTTATTTACAATACATTCCAAGATATTCTTGAAAAGTTCAAAGGAGAAAAGTTTTTAAAGATTGAATGTTTAATATAGTTAATTAAACATTTGTTTACCTTGAAACATTTGCCTAGTACATGTCATTCCATGGTATCTTATTTCATGTTTTAATGATACTGGTAATATTTGTGTTGTCTTGGGAAAGTTGGTATTGCACCTTTAGTACCTGTATTTGTGAATGCTGGTCATTTTATACCGTCTTGGGAAAGTTGGTATTGCACCTTTAGTACCTGTATTTGTGAATGCTGGTCATTTTATACCGTCTTGGGAAAGTTGGTATTGCACCTTTAGTACCTGTATTTGTGAATGCTGGTCATTTTATACCGTCTTGGGAAAGTTGGTATTGCACCTTTAGTACCTGTATTTGTGAATGCTGGTCATTTTATACCGTCTTGGGAAAGTTGGTATTGCACCTTTAGTACCTGTATTTGTGAATGCTGGTCATTTTATACCGTCTTGGGAAAGTTGGTATTGCACCTTTAGTACCTGTATTTGTGAATGCTGGTCATTTTATACCGTCTTGGGAAAGTTGGTATTGCACCTTTAGTACCTGTATTTGTGAATGCTGGTCATTTTATACCGTCTTGGGAAAGTTGGTATTGCACCTTTAGTACCTGTATTTGTGAATGCTGGTCATTTTATACCGTCTTGGGAAAGTTGGTATTGCACCTTTAGTACCTGTATTTGTGAATGCTGGTCATTTTGTACTGTCTTGGGAAAGTTGGTATTGCACCTTTAGTACCTGTACTTGTGAATGCTGGTCAATCTGTCTTTTTTTATGTGAATGTTACCAGTTCATTATTTATTGGTGTTATTATCTTCTTTGTATACATGTGTGTGACCAGATCTGGCAGATCATCATGTTTTTTTCAAAAAGATTTTGCTAAAAACAGGACAACCATACTCTTTATGTTTTATTTAAAAAATTTAAACCTCCTTTTTGGTTAGACAGATATTTGGCTCTTTTTAGGGATCTTCTGAAAATGTGGCAAGTTGTATAAAATGTGTATAGTACCATGTGTTTCATTTACAATTTTCTTGTAGTTCAATAAATTGTTCATCATATATTCTAATTCTTTTATTTTTTTGTAAGCATCAATATATACATGTATATTAACAAATATCCAGCTGTTGTTAGAAAATGAGGACACACCAACTTTCTATGACAATTAAAGTTAATCTCAGCAATCTGGTAGCTATTAAGACTTTGAATTTGGTTTAAAAAAGTATTGGATGCTGTTTTTTGCTTCTTTATCAATTGTAACCTGCTTATTTATGGATTTGAACTATTGCTGTATTTGATATATTTAAATCATAAACCATAGTTTGTGTCTTCTAGAAATGCTTTTGTTCCATAAAAAAAAAACAGTTCTGGTAATTCAGTCGTTTTTGGTGAAATTAAAGAAATTGTGATGAAAAAATATTTGGTCTATCATAACAAGAACTATTAACCATTTCAATCATTATTATAGATATAGGTGAATGTGGTATGATTGCCATTGAAAAAAAAATCAACCAGAGACCAAAGGATAAGGATGTAAAAAATTAAAGGTCACTGAACTGCCTTTAACAATAAGCAAAACCCATACCATATGATAGGCTATAAAAGACCTAAGTCTTGGCAATTCTTATCAAAATACAAGACTAAATTCAATTAAAAGCTACCAGTAAATCATCGCAAAGATTCAATTGAAAGCCAAAGGTACACGCTACATTCATGGCTGCCTGTAACAAGACTGGATTACAAAATGGGCTCACCGGCTTCTGTTTTTATTATTTGACTATTATATTATATGACATTCAGGATAATTAATGTCAATGTGGTTTGTAAAATCTGACATCATGAGTCATTTTTTTACATGGTAGCTCGAAAGGTACTGAGTACAATGGCAGATTCCCTACCATTCTTTGCTCTTAAGACTACTAAATGATTGGTTCCTGTACATTCTGTTCAGCTGATGTTACTCAATTTAAAATGGCTTTATCTCATTTGTATTCCAAAAATACCAAATTGAAATAAAATGGACATACAAGCAGAATTTTACAATGCTGTTTTCTGTTGTCTGATCTGACAAATCAGTACCAGATACCAAGTATCCAAACTCTGAAATCTTGTTAAAAAATAGGTTGGAACAAATTTATCATGTTTAACTGATGCAAAACTGGAACATAACACGCAGGCTCTCTCAAATTAATTAAATCTCTGTATGTTGACGATTTCAGAACTTCTATATCAACAACATTCAAAATGAAGAACCTCAATAAAAGGGTTGTTCCTGAGAAGACATTTCCTAGAACTTCATAATTGGTTCTATTTACTAGCCAAATATTGCTGTACATCTAAGCATAAATGCATATTAATTATTCAAATGACAGATTAATTTTACCCCCCCCCCCCCCCCCCCCCCCCCAAAAAAAAAATATATACAACAAAACAAAAACAATGCAAAATGACAGAACACAAAAAACAAAACTTGAATAAAACAAAATTAAATCTATCATCATCAGCCACAAAAATACTTCAACTTTAGCATTAACTTGTTTGAATTAGGGTAAAACACATATAAATAGTGTAGAAATCCCTCGGTAATATCATTATACTTCTGCAGTTTATCAAATGCATAATGAACATTGATATTGAGTTTAAAATCAGTATTAGAGAAAGAAGTGTCCAAATTTGGTATCAGAAAGTGGGGAAATCAATATGCATGTGCACAAATTCTTAGCCTGGGCATAGTTGAAAAATCAAACTGATTGATAAAAGAAGAAATAAACAATAAAAAAAACATTTGTGTACTTGCACTAAAAATATGGAATTAATATGATATTCTTATATTTTTTTAATTGGTTGTGTCCTAATGTCTTACTTAAAATGAAAATAAATACAGTAATTGTCCCAATTATATTTTGTGTAACTGTTCAGTGCACAAATATATAACAAAACACCATAGAAGGTTATAATATTGAAAGAAGTTTGAGAAAGTGGAATAATATTCTTTCAATTCGGGCATCATTAGAGAAACGTCTTTTTCTCAGGAGTATTACGAAAAATCCGGAGGTGTTACGAACACTGGGATTTCTACCGCTTCGAGACAAATTTTCACTCTACGGACTGGCACTGATAACTGACACATTTTCATCCCTTAACAAATATCCTTCTTTTATTAACATGACCACGATCTCTTATAATTTCTCTAATGAAAATAAATGAAATGCGACCAGCATATCACGATTCAAGGGAATATTTTAATAAGATTAAAGGTACCAACGCCGGAAAATACTGATTTAACTTTTGTCAGGACACCATTTTTACGTCACATTGCGAATTCTGAGCAGAACCGCTTAAAACGGAGATAAATAATGTTCCAAGTAAACATTATTATGCTTGGATGCCAACATAGAATCAACACATACAGAGTAAAAACGGAAAATTCATTCCCGATTTTGCAGATCAAAAACGTCATTTTGTTTACGTCTAAATCACGTGATCAAAAACGTCTAGAGGAACTCTCCTGCGTCAGTGGCTTCCCGGCTGAAAGAATAGTGAGAAATGACTAAAAAAAAATACAAAATACAGAAATGCAAAACAAGAGTGCACACTCTAAAATGTCTAGCCTGCTTTACTTATCATGATTGCATTTCATACTGTAAACTGAGTATAGTTAAGATTATTGCTTATAATATCCGACCGAAAAACAGGCCCAATTACGAAAAATGAACTTGACCAATGAACCATAAAAATGAGGCCAAGGTCAGTTGAAACCCGTCATACAACATGAACGCCACGCAATCATTCTTTACAATCAATATAGTTGACATATTGCTTACAGTATTTGAGAAATAGACATAACCATGAAAACTTAACATTAACCATCAAAATGAGGTCACGGTCAGATGAATCCTGCCAAACAGACAGCAACTGCGAGTACTCTCAGATCTGTTCTGTCTTTTGTGTTGTGATGGGTGTATAAATACCCTGCCACGTCCGGTCTGTGTTTTTGTTAGATGTTTTTCTGCTTTGTATCGATCTAGTTAAACCATTTTCAACTGATTTTTACAGTTTGTTCTTATGTTGTACTGATACACCACTGTCCCAGATTAGGGAAGGGTTGGTGCCTTCAAAACATGTTAAACCCCTTCACATTCTTTTATGTGCCTGTCCAAAGTGAGGAGCCTGTAGTTCAGTGGTTGTCGTTGGTTCTGGTCGGTGATATTTGTTTTTCGTAATTATTTTGTTATAAATTGGACCGTTAGTTTTCTCAGTTGATTTTTTTTCATATTTTTCATGTCGGGGCCTTTTAAAGTCGACTATACGGTATGGGATTTTCTCATTGTTAAAGGCTGCACAGTTGCCTATAATTGCCGACATCCACTTTATTTGAACTTTAGCGGATAGTTGTCTCATTAGCAATCATACCACATCTCCTTATTTTTATAAAGTTTACCTAGCAATAGTTCCATACTGCAAATATAGTTGACATATTGCTTATAGTATCCGATAAACGGAAAAATCCACGAACTTAACGTTGACAAATGAACCATGAAAAAGAGATCAAGGTCAGATGAAATCTGCCAGACAGACATGAACACCTTACGATCATTTCATTTGCGAAATATAATGGCCTTATTGCTTATAGTATCTGAGAAATAGACACAAAAGGCCACACGCTGAAATGTCTCGCCTACTATACATTGATTTTATGTTGATAGTCCTAAATATAAAATTTTAAAAGTATCACATTAACATTTATGATCCAAGAAAATGAGGTCAAGGTCAGATAAACCAAGCCGGAAATACATGTACACCTTTAATCCAATCATTAAATACACCGAATATAGATGACTCATTCCTTATAGTATAACAGAAACAGACCAAGCGATGGAAATTTTATAGTGACCAATGAACCACAAAAATGAGGTCAAGGTCAGATGAACCCTGCCAGACAGACATGTACACCTTAAAATAATTCCATGCATCAAATATAGTTGACCTACTGCTTATAATATCTAAGAAACAAAGTTAACCAAGAAAACTGAACATTGACCAATGAACCATGAAAATGAGGTGCAAATATAGTTGACCTATTGCTTAAAGTTAAAGAAAAAAACGGACCAAAAACACAAAAACTTAACATTAAGCAATGAACCATGAAAATAAGGTCAAGGTCAAATAAAACCTGCCAGACTGACATGTTCAACGTAAAATATTTCCATACTACAAATATAGCGGACCTATTGCATACAGTATTAGAAAAACAGACCAAAACACAAAAACTTAACATTGAGCAATGAACCGTGAAAATGAGGTCAAGGTCAAATAAAACCTGCCAGACTGACATGTACATCGTAAAATATTTCAATACACCAAATACAGTTAACCTATTGCATACGGTATTAGAAATACAGACCAAAACACAACTAGACAAAGCGATGCACCCGCACTCCACTCTGAAGTAACTGTATTATAACAAATTTAAAGTCAATGTAGGACTTTCTTTGAGATATTATTGTGTCTGGGAGACACAAATGATGCCCCCGCAAATGCAAAAGTGTTATTTAAAAATACACAAAGTTGAGCATGGGAGCACATAGGTCTATGGTTCACTGTAGGAGGAATTATTTCCGGAAACGCTTTCACCTCTAATGCAAGTATATACTCCAAAAATGACAAAGTTCAAATATCTCTCAAAAGAGCAAAAATTAATAAAAATCAAAACCCTGACCACATGCACACCTTCAATATATTTACAAACAGCCAGCAAAGTGAAAACTTCCTATCATTCAAACTGTAGGAGGGGTTATCCGGAAACGCTATGCACTTATGCAAGTATATACTCCAAAAATGACAAAGTTCAACTATCTCCCAAAAGAGAAAATAAAAATAAAAATCAAACCCTGACCACATGCACACCTTCAATATATGTACAAACAGCCAGCAAAGTGAAAACTTCCTAGCATTCAAACTGTAGGAGGAGTCATCTGGAATAGCTAAATAGCCATAATGGGACGGACGGACAGGGGTAAAACAATAAACCCCGCCCCCTCCCCTAACTTTCAGATTCGGGGGC